TTTTATGCTTAGGGTTGGAAGCTTTAAGCCTTATGGGGACGAGGGTCTCTGGAGACATTTGGTATTTGGGCTCCTAAACTGCTTGAGGATGGGGCCCTTCTTAGAGTAGATGCCAAAAAAAAAAAAAAAAAAAAAAGATTGCTTTTTATACATGCACTTCTTTTTTCATCCATCTTTTTCTGTCTTTTCCCTTCTCCTTTACTTCTTTTGCCCAAATATTTCTTTTCCTTACTGTTTATCTTAAGCTAGTCATCATGACCCTGAGGCAGGTCCAGAAATTGCCCGCTCTGCTTTAGAAACAGCTTCATCATTCCTTCAGCATCTAACTCCTTCTAGCTCTTGTGGCTCTAGCTGCGCTCACAGCCCAGCTCCTGGGACCCGGAGTTACCCGCCGCAGGCCCACGGGCGGGAGGGAGTGTGCACCGGAGGCCCTCTGGGACTGCCAAGCCCCAGGCACCAGGTCCCAGACCATCCTCCTGTTCCCCTCCCGATTTGGTTCAGTGAACTCAAATGACCTTTGCCCGCCTGGGATAACAAAGGAAGTGATCAAGTTTAGAAATGTGCCTGAGGTGGTGGGGGAGGGACTGGCCGCACCTTCCAGCTGGGCTGCGCCAGCCACGAGACCAAATTAGGATGTGCGCGCAGCCTCCGTCTGTGCAAAGGTTCAGAGGGCCGTGTGCAAGAGTGGAGCTCGGTTTCCAGAGAGTGGCGCTTGCCCAAGCCTGGCGGCCTTGCGGCAGCGCCTCTTCCTGCCCGGCTGTGGTGAGCAGGGCGGGCCGGACCGGGGCTTTCCCCCATGGGGAACATAGAGGAGGGGTCTTTCCTCGCCAGCAGGGCCTGTGGCCATGGGAACTGATCCCCGCAGACTTTCACCCAAGCCTCTCCATAACTGCACTGGCTCCATCCTAAACAAGCCCGCCGGGGCGAGTCATTCGAACATGCAGACAAGATCCTCACTTGAGCCGGTCGGAAAACAAACGTTGTGTTTATGAGCCCTGGGCTGAGAGATCTGGCCGGTTTACTGCACGCAAAGGTCTGAAGCTGGCCAGGTTCAGGACGCTGCCCAGCGGTGTTTTAACGCTGTGTTCGCCAAATACACCCCAGGGGAGGGGTTGTGCACACCACAGTTATCGGACCACAAGCGAGAGTCAGCTTCCTCTGTGGTGTTTGATGGCTTCCAGAACACCTCGTTCTCCTCAGAGGTCTTCAGAACCCAGCGCAGTGCCATTGTCTTCCTAAGGTGCTTCATGAGCTTCAGCAACTCCAGCCTGATGGCTGGGCGGTGAGCAAGGGATGCCGCAACCGCCAGGCCCTGTTTCCTTCTGCCCTCGCCCCTCTCCTACTGTGAGCCCCTTCTCACTCTCACTCCACAGCGAAGCAAACCGCACCCGGGCTGAAGCCTCCTGAGGCTGTGGGTCGAGATTCCAGGCCCTCAGTCCCAGGCGGGGAGCCAGTGTGTGCTGGGCCCGGTGGGTTGGAAGAGTGATGTCGTGTTCTCTCAGAGCCCGCCCCGGGGTGGGGGGTGTGCCGCTCCGGATGCCTCCTCGGCCGTGGGCAGGGCTGTGCAGTGGGGGGCGGGGGGAGGGGCGGCCCACAGCGCACCCCTTGCTCTCTGCCCTAGGTGTTCTCTGCCATGGCTCAGAGGCTCAGGTGCCCAAGCCTGCTCTCCCTAAAGTATTGGAGAGTTAGCATCCCACGGAGGTAAACACTTTCCTCTTTCACCTCCTGGTCAGACGAGCTTCCATACAGCATTTCAGACAGTCCCAGATGAGGCGTCAGGTGGATAAGTCATCCTGTGTGAGCCTCCCTCCCTCTACCACTCTCTCCTGCTTCCCAGGGGCATACACCCCAATCCAGTGCACGTGTGTTCTAGGCTCTGCTCTGGAGGGGCGGCGGGAGGGGGGGACCTAGAGTAGGATATCTGCAGACTTGGATTCATTCAGAGCCCTTTATTTAGAAGTTCTCTCACAACTTATTTTACTTTCAAAATTCAGTTCCTCTGAGTACATTTCTATCCGTTTTATATGTCTCATTATTTTAGACTGAGAAGTCAAAAGCAAAATTAGACTTGAGTAACTTGAGGGGGTTTTCTGTTTTGTTTTGCATTAACATTCCTTACTTTGGGGATATCTATACTTTCTTTGAACATGTGGCACTCATATTTTGCTTTGAATATGCCCCTGATACTGTTGTTATCTTTAGCATTTTCATAAGCTGCAAAAGAGGAAGTTAGAGAGATTGCTCCCTGGAGGCAGAACCAAACTGGGGGCCTTCTTCCGCTTTTAGTCACAGAGAAAAGTGATGTTTCTGCTGGAGCTGACTGAGACTTGAAGGCTTCTCTAATTATTTCCTTAGTGTAAATTTCGAGAAAGTGAAAGTCAAAGGGCACAAATAATTGCATATAACCAAATTGCCATCTCATTGAGATGTAGCAATTTAAACTCACAGCAACATCCCTGGCCTGTAGCTCAGTGGGTTAGAGCATTGTTGACATATGCCAAGGTTGTGGATTTGATTCCCTGGTCAGGGTACATACAAGAAAACCAATGAATCCATAAGTAAATGGGACAATAAATCTATGTCTCTCTCTCTCTTTCTCCTTTCCTCTCTCTCTTTCTCTCCAAAAAATCGATCAATACCCTGGCGGGTGTGGCTCAGTAGACTGAGTGCTGGCCTGTGAACCAAACGGTTGCTGGTTTGATTCCCAGTCAGGGCACATGCCTGGGTTTGGGCCAGGTTCCCAGTGGGGGGCATGTGAGAGGCAACCAGACCTCTCTCACATATTGATGTTTCTCTCCCTCTCTTTCTCCCTGCCTTCCCCTCTCTCTAAAAGTAAATAAATACAATAAATCTTTTTAAAAATCAATCAATAAAAATTTTTAAAAAACTCACACCAATAGTATAGAACAGCACCTTTCCCTGTGCCCTTCTCCACACAGATGTCCTGCTTTAATTTAGCATTTCTTTGATTCTTAGTGAAAATTGGAAGAATATATGCTAGCAGCTTACATTTCTTGCTTTGTAAAATACCTGTTTCTTTAAACAATCTTTAATAGACCTTTTTAATGTTTTAAACAGTTCCTAGTTCTCTATTGCTGGCTTCTTAACAGGATACACCACCTGATTGATTATAGACGTAGAGTGAATGAAAGCTTTATGGAAAGACCTTGTGTCTGTAAATTAGAAAGTAGGTACAAGGTATGACTTTCCATATATTCAGAGATTTCGTTTTATCATTTCCGAGCTGAGAGTGCTCTGTAGACTGGAATTGTCCTGAGACGAGACAGGCACATCAAGTAAGCACCATACCACTCACTGCCTGCTTCAATCCCTGATTTTCCTGGTCCTCAGTGCTTCAGGTGTCATCTCTACTTTAGCTGGTCAAAATGTCTTTCAGCTTACTATATCAGTCTGTTTCAGCCAGAAAGGGTTGCTCAGCTTTACATCTTAAGAGACTTACCCAGGCATGTCAGCATCTGAGAGATTGCCATACTCTTTCATTCCAGTTGCAGTAAAAACCATGAAGGACCTTGCTAATAAAGAAAGACTCTAGGAACTCTAAACTCTGTAACTTTATTGCCGTTCCCAGTAGGCCTGTACAGATCTGGGAAAGTAACAAGCTGCAAAGTAGCTGCTTTAGAATACCTGTCCCTCGCTGAAGCAAGACCAGTTGCATGGTTTACATATCAAGTCCATGTGACTATTGTTGGTATTTTCAATTTCCAAAATGATGCCTTGATACATTTCTGTGGACTTCTGCACCAGGAGGATATATGTAGCTGTTTTCACACCAAGGTATTTTCCCTGATTGCTGTATCTGTTTTTCCTTCAACAGTCAAGCTCAGCAGGTCATGTGCTACATACCATATTTAGGTCTATTTCCAGGGAACAAAGCTGGACTGTACTGGACTGTACTCTTTCCCTACCTATTCCCCACCAGCTGAGCTGTCTGTCCTGCTTACTGCAGAAGCAGTATGAGAACCACACAGAGCGGCTAACAAGATATTGCTTTGAAAAGTCTAAAGCTGCCCTCTGCTGAAGACGCCCTAGGGGCTTGGTAGAGATAGCAGTGAAGCAATAGAAATAACTATATTATTTAGTGTCATGTCATTTTCCTGCTGAAAAACCTTCAGTGACTCTCCTTTGACCAAAGTCCTAAGAGGGTCAGTTAATGGCCTTTGTCTGTAGAGAGGTGATAGCAGCCTGCCAGATGGGAAGCAGGGAGCCTATGCCCTTGAGGCACATTGTGGGGGTGGCCACAGGACCTGAGCCAAAGAAGGATGGGTATCTATTTATAATACCTTCCAAAAGGGGTTCAAATTGAGGCCTTGGCCTCATATCAGGTGAGGTCATAGATTCATACACCAAAAAGCAACAGAGGAAGAGATAGGTCTGTGATATATTAATGGAGATGCAGATACCGTGCAGATTAACTGGCAGAGGCCTCTGTGCCTGAGACATGTGACTTGCTGTGGCCTCATTGGAGGTGCCAGCTCCCTGGTGATAAAATATCTTGGCTTTGCAGTCACAAACCCTGGATTCAAATCCAACTTTAACAGGCTTTCAAACAAGCTACTTAACTTTATCTGTCAAGGCTCCTTAAAGGTGTTCATGAAGTTAAATGAAGTAACAGATTTTTGCACTTTTTCAATGAAAGCACTATTACTATTTTATAAACATAAATATCATTCTGCCTTTGTGTCAGGTTTGAGGTTAAATCTGTCTCCCCAACATGTAGACAAAGCCTGATCTGTTTGATGTCTTTTTTCCCCCTCAACAATGACCCCAAAGCTCCCAAAGTGTGTTGTGTGGAATTGTCCATCAATATCTAGTGGTGTCATGTTTCTAAATTTTACCTCTTTCAATAGAAACCTCCATATTAAGGGTAGCCCCAGCCACCCCCTACATTCCTGTCAGGAGACTGGCACACACCCAGCAGAGCTTAGGGAGAAGTTGCCACCAATGAGAAATGGTGCTCAAGTTGTGCTTCTTCCTTCCAGGGACTTCCCAGATGACCCAGGTGTGCAGTGGGACACAGAGAGTGTGGCCGGCGTCCTGCTCCAGCACATAGAAGTGAATAACATCAACCTGGTAAGGGGACCCGCTTACAGAAGGCAAAGCTGGGCCCAGTCCCACCTTTCCTGTGGCTGCTCTCCCATGTGCAGCCCTCCTCCAGGGCCATGCTGAAAGGAGGCCAGAGCCTCCTGATGACAGCACACCTTTTGTGAGGCTGAGTAACTGTGGTGGCAGCACTCAGAAGCACAGGTTTTTTCCAATGTGTCCTCTTTTCCTTCTCCCACCCCCACCTCTGTCCCACCACCTAAAAACTCCTGGACTCTGTGCTGTAACTCTCATTTGTACAGAACTTCACCTTTCACCAAGCATTTTCACAGTTATATCGTTTTAACTTTAGAGGTAAATGTTGTAATTCTCATTTTATATCAAGGAAATTGAGGTTTCCAGAGGTCAAGCAGCTAGCCTGAGTTCGGCAAGTGGTGAAACTAGGATTTTAAACCTCAGTTCCAAAAATCACAAGGATAAATTCATACCCCCTACAGGGAAAACATCTGGGTCACAGTTAGGGCAGCAGTGGAGGTTCAAGTTACTTGCAGAGGTGGACAAGTCCAGGAAAGCCCCTCTCAGCTCTCCTAGGACCCACAGCAGTGGCCTTGCCACTGGTCAATTTTAAGCCTGCCTAGGAGGCTTGCTGTTCACTTCTAAAACAACAGTAATCTTTCATGAGATAATACCTAAAATTTGACCATTTAAAGCCCCAATCATATAAAAATTGGATATTGATAAATCCTCATTAAAAGATGAATCCTTCTGGCAGAGAAACATGTTAGGCTTTTACCAATGATGAATTTGTGGAGTGAATTGATTTATTAGACTTTTCATAAGAACAGATTTTCATTGACTTATTAGACCATCTTTGTTTTCTAATGACAGAAGAGCACCTAACTGGCTCACTCCAAATCACATGCAAGTGGTGATGCAGGTGGACCCATGACCTGTCAGGGCTCATCTCTTTCTTACTCTGTGCATTGACTTTATTTTTTTTTCCTCTGGCTGGAAAAATGGTCACCAACAGCTTGCAGGTCCACACCTCCTACCTATACCTTACCAGGGAGTCTGAGTGTGAAAAATGGAGGGTTCTGTCCATCAGTGCAGGGGTCACACTCCCTGCCCATTGACTGTGCCAGATGTTTAAAAAGCTGTTTAACATACACTGCTGTTATTAGGGAAACTCAAATTCTCACAGTGCACTGGGACTAACTTCCCTGTGCTGCATTTCATGCAGTAGTAGAAGCGTAGGGCCCTTCTGACCCTGCGGCCAGTGTGGGCCTGAGTGGCCACAATGAGCTAAGTATGGGTTTTCTTTCACACAGACCCATGGTCCCTGCACGAGGAGGGTTAATACTGGGCAGACGGGAAGTCACTCCATGGCAGTGTCCTGTACCAGGCTGAGTATACAAAGCTTGGAAGGGTCCCAGTGCCACATCCAGACTGGAAGTGTCAACTGCACAATCAGAGAAGATGAAGCACCAATAGGGAAGCATAGACAGATGTGTGGAACACAGAGATAAGTTCATGGGAAGGTGGTTTCTCACCTGGGCTGTGCTGGGAAAATGCCAAAAGCTTTCCTTTGTCCCAGGCCAAAGCTGGCTCTGCAGCCATTAGAACAGTGTGATGGAAGAAATCTGAGCTCTGTTTGGCCCCAGCTCTGTTGGGTGCTGAGCTGTCTGTCCTACTCCCTGTGACAGCATTGAGAGAACCCCATAGAACAGCTGACAGGACAGAGCTTTGGAAAGCACACCTCTGCCCTCTACTGAAAACAGTCTGGGTGCAGGATCCAACCCCTCCCTGTATCTTTCATTCAACAAATATTTATTGAGCACCTGCTATATGATATTCACTATCTGTTGTGAACAGGGGTTGCAGCAACAAGCCAGATACACCTAGTTCCTGCTCCCTTAGGACAGGATGTCTCAATAGTGGCATTATTGACCTTTGGGGCGGGATAATTTTTTGCCCTAGGGGCTGTCCTGGGCATTGTAGGGTGTTTAGCAGCATCTCTAGACTGGGTCCACTAAATATGTCCCCCTCTACTCAGTAGCAACCCCCCATCATTCATCACAATAAAAATGTCCCTAGACATTGCCAAATGTCCCTGGGAAAAAAACTCCCCCCAGGTGAGAACCACTGTTTTTGAGAAACCAGAGCAGTCCCACTATTGTCTCTTGTTTGTTGGGGACTGGGTCAGATTTTGTTTGAACAAAGATTTCTGCAACTTCTACCCCCAAAGAGGGGTAGAAGATGGAGTCTATAAAGAACTACAGGAGCAATGCACGAGTCTGCAAATGTCCAGGGAGCTGGACACAACTCAGCTCAGCCCTCCTTGCAACGGAAAGAAAAGGGGGACTTTAAGAAGATGTGGACAGCTTGCTTTATGAATCACAAAATGGTCAATTTTTAGAAAAAGACCTATGTCTTTTTTACAGAAATTCTGCAGTTTTGGATACAGCCCAAATTGTGATTTGTTAATCATTTTTAATTCTATGTCTTCACTGATTTTCTTATCTATATGTCCTATCATTTATTGAAAGGGGAGACAAGAAAGTGACTTCAGAGAAAATATTTCAAGGTCTATAGCTGGTAATCTTCCAGAATGAGAAAGACCTTAACCTACCATTTCAAGAAGCCCAATGAATCCCACACAGGATAAAAGGAAATCCATACATCGGTATATCATAATGAAACTGCAACATTCCAAAGAGAAAGAAAATCTTAAAGATAGCTAAAAGAAAAGTCAAATTGCCTGCAAAGGAGGAACTTTTTCTTATTCTTGATCTTTTCTCTGGTTGTTGAAATCTAGAGAAACATTTTTATAAGTTGAGGGTAAACTTGACAGTTTGGAAAGAACTAGGCTTTGTTTGAGCCTTTGAAAACAACTAAAATTCGCGCGCGCGCACACACACACACACACACACACACACACAGAAAGGTGTGAAATGAAGAGGAAACAGACCTTGGAGAATTTAAAAATGCCTAAGTCAAAATTCTCTTGTTCCCAAATCCGTTAACCTAGGGCATGCCCTTGGGCATGCCTATGATAATAACCTGGCCCCAACCTGCTGCTTTATCTGATGGCAGAGACTTAGAGCTGAGACCCTCTAGCCTTTATTGCTGTATGGTTCTAAACACCTCCACAGGCTTTATTTGATCTTCTCATACCAGTGAGCAAAGTAGGGCAGTAGGGGGTGGAGGGGGCAGGGTGTGGGGGACATGCTGCTCCAGCAGAGCTCTCTTGATAGCTGCAGGTGAAAAGAAAGAAATTGTCCCAGACACAATCTGTTGTTCTGGCAGGAGAGGGGATGGTGATTCCCTCTAGTGGAGAATACCCCAAGCCCTTCTCCAAAAATGGCTTTTATTAGGGTCAGAATGTGCAGGGGAATACAGCATACAGGCATAGCTTATCAATCAATGTCCAAAAAGCTATAGTCATAAAAAACTGACACTCTCTGTAGATAACAATTGAAGAAATGCAGAGACCCTATCAGGGGCTGTAAGACATGCTGATGCCAGGTGGTCAGTCATTAAGGCGTGTTCATGAGATAAGGAGTGAAGGAACTCCTTATCCTTTGAACTCAAACATCTGGCTTATACCAACAGGGCTATCACTAGGCAGTGCAGGCTTCAAAGAATACAATGTATATTTCAGGTCTGATTTCCCACGGGAACCCTCAGTGAGCCCTCAGTGTTAGTATTGGGTCGTGTCTGCTAATTGCTTTCCTGGTTTTCCAGGGAGACTTATTGGCAATTTCCAAGGCTTTGCTCAGCGGGGCTACAGTCTCCGAAACCACATGAAGTAGTCCCCAACAAGGCAGGTATTATATTTCTGACCTCTTAGATGAGGAAACCAAGACATTGAAAGTTGAAATAACTGCCTTGGCTGGTGTGGTTCAGTTGGTTGCATCATTCTGTACATCAATAGGTTAGGGGTTCAATTCCTGTTCAGGGCATATACCTAGGTTTCACGTTCCATCTCCGGGGTACATGTGGGAGGCAACTGGTCAATGTTTCTCTCTCATATTGATTTTTTTCTCCCCTTCTTTCTCTCTCCCTAGTATCAATAAACATATATATGTTTTTAATATTATATATTTTTTATTTTTAGAGAGAGGGTTGTGGAGGGAGAAAGAGCGGGAGAGAAACATCAATCAGTTGCCTCTTTCATATGCCACAACTGGGGACTGTCATGCAACCCAGGCATGTGCCCTGACCAGGAACTGAACTAGAGACTGTTTCTTTGCAAGACAACACTCAACCAACTGAGCCACGCTGGTGAGGGCAAACATATTTTTTTAAAAAAAAAAGAAAGTTGAAATAACTTCCAGTGGTAAAGTTCTGTGACTTGCCCGACGGGCTGGGGTTAGCTAATGTTGGAGAGAAGAGCAGCTGCAGTTTCTCCCCACACCGCCCCTCCCCACTGCGTTGCATGGAAGCATGGTATCAGTACTTGAGTTATATGGTTAACTTTTTTTGTAGACTGTATTTTTAAAATTTCTTAAAAAATTTTTAAATACAGTTGACATACAATATATCACTTTTAGGTGTACAAAGTAATACACTGCTGTTTCAGGTTCACAGAAAATATTGAGCTGAAAGTACATCTCTAACCAACCCCACCCTCCACAATTTATTACAATAAGTGAACATACATGACACATCACCATCATCCAAAGTCCATAGTTTAGGGTTCAAATTTGGTGTCGTATAACATGGGTTTTCACAAAGGTGTAAAGACCTATATTCACCATTATATTATTTGCTTTTTATAAACCTTTAACTCAGATTTTTAAAACATCCTTATGGAGAATTTTAAGCATACTAAAGTAGAGAGAATAGTTTAATGAACCTTTGTGTTCCTATCCCTCAGCCTCAATAATTAGCACACAGTCAATACTATTTTCATTTAAATACCTCCCTGCCTGCTGTGTTATTTTAAAGCAAATTCTTGCCATGGTATTTCATATTTAAATACAAATTTAAGTATGCATTAGTATGCAATTCTATTTATTTTTAGACAGAGGGGAAGGGAAGGAGAAAAAGAAGGAGTGAAACATCAATGTGTGGTTGCCTCTCACACACCCCCTACTGGGGAGCTGGCCTGCAACCCAGGCATGTGCCCTGACTGGGAGTCGAACCAGCAACCCTTTGGTTTGCAGGCTGGTGCTCAATCTATTGAGCCATACCAATCAGGGAAAGTATGCTGTTCTAAAAGACATTGAATCTTTTATTAACATAACTATAATATTGTTATCACACCTAAAAATTAATTAATATCAATGTTTTGCATTTCCAATGCTCTGATGTCATAAATGTGTTTTATTTTGTTTTTATTCTTGCAGCTTGTTTGAATCAGGATCAGTTGATAGGACATTAAATTTTCTTTTAATCTATAGCCCAAGCCTCCAGCCCATGTTCAATAAAAGTTAGCTGCTCAGAATTTTCTGTAAAGGAAGTCAACATGTTTTACAGTCTAGTATAGAAAGACCAGCAGTGAATCCCTTCCCAGCCTCCTCCAAGCCTGGTTCTGGGCCCCTTCGTCCATGCTGTGTGGTCACCTTCATTCCTTGGGGATAGCTTGCCTCTTTCCATCACCCTTAGCCAACCACTACTATTCCTTTTTCTGAGTCCTTGATTTCTTTAAAATATTTATTTTATTATTCAAACTATCCTTTTAATATTATTTTTTTAATTGTTCCCTGGGCTTTTTTAAAATCCACGTGTGTAGAAATGAAATGCTGGAACCTAGACTAAGCTTTTAGTTGATAAGCAAATCTATATTTGTGAACATGGCAGCAGAGACAGTCTATGAATAAACACATTTCTTCTGTAAATTTAATCTCAGGATGTGGTGGAAATTGTCCCCTAAAGCTTTTGTGCCCTCAGTAAGGCACAAGGAAAAGAGACCCAGTTAATCAGGTAGCAATTCCGTGAACAAAGTTCACATGGCAGCCAGCCAGGAAAAGTAAATGTGCTCATCACTGGCTAGGCAGATAAGAAACAGAGATATTCTGAGCCCAGGGTTCTACCAAGGCCAAATTCCACTCTACTCCACCAGTAAGGAACAAGAATAAACAGGAAAATCCCGCAACGGAAAAGTCTCCCTACAATCGGCCAAACCGATAGTTGCACACCATTGATCTGAGCCAAAGTCAGTTCATGTGAACTCAAAATGTGAAAGGTTTCATGTCTCTGCCCTCTTCTCTCCTTCCTCAAGGTATGGGGGGACAGCTGGCCTGGAGCCAGGCCTTAGTGGAGCCCCATGTTTCCCTGCAGGTGGTGACCTTCGATGCAGGGGGCATCAGTGGGCACAGCAACCACGTGGCTCTGCACACAGCTATGAGGTACAGTTGGGGTGGTCGAGGTGGCAGGGTCTTGCTCGTTTGCTCAGGGGCAGGTGGTTTCAAATGCGCTGCCCCCTCAGTATCTGAGCCCCAGGAAACTTTATTATCAGATAGCCAGTGTTGCTCATGATGCTCATTGCACCTCACTACATCCTCCCCATGAGAACTCTCTCTCCAGTCTCCTAAACAGCTGAGAATTTGTGTTTTTTACCCCAGGGACACAGCAAAGGAGTAACTGATTTAATTCTTTCTTTGCTTTGGCCACAAAGCTATAGGGCCAAATTTGCTACCCTTCGTAGCAAGTGTAAGGGACTTTAGGGATTGAGCTTTGTGAACCAATGTGTCTCTTGGCTCCATCTTCTTTTTCCTCCCCTGATTCTCATTTATTTTGTTATCATCTGTTGTATACTTTATACACTGTCACAAATCTTTCTTTGGAGAAGAATATACATACCTAATAGAAAATCTCATTTGTACTTCACAGTCACCCTATTTTACTGACTTGAACCTCAAAGACATTAGGGACTTACTCAGGGTCCTACAAGCATATGTCAGTTCCCTACCCTCAGAAGTACTTCTCCTGGACACCAGGAGCAGCAGCTGGTGGACTTGGCCCAGCGACTAAAGAAGGAGTGGGGGCGACTTGAAGTGAAGGACTTACCTTATCACCTTTGTCTAACAAGCCCAACATTCTCAGACTGGGTCAGAGAAATATGTGAAGACAGAAGTGTCCAACCTCTTCATTTCACCAAATCTGTCAGGCTGAACAATGGCAGAGGCAGCGCTGAATCCAGGAATCCTAGATGTACCTTCATTATCTTCTCTGCTCCCTGTGAAGACCCATCCAGTATTAGGGCCTTCCAGCTGAGTCCCTAAACTATGTGCTACCTACTGGAAGACCTATAAACTGTTACCCACACAGTCTTTCCACACCTACCCTCCTGCTGGCTTGACTGTGGAACTACAGAAGGCAGGAATGCTGCCTCCTATAAAGACTGTTCACATCCTGTCCCAGCCACTTGTACAGAAGACCTGAAATTGCATTATAGTCAGAGATGCTATTCACAAAAATTTTTATTGATTGATTTTGAGAAAGAGAAAGGAATGGACAGAGAGAAACATTGACTTGTTGTTGCACTTATTTATACATTCATTGGTTGATTCTGGTACATTCCCTGACCAGAGATCGAACCTACAACCTTGATGTATCTGGACGATGCTCCAATCAACTGAGCTACCCGGCCAGGGCCAGAGATGCAATTTTCCGTGAAAATGCAAGGGAAAGTGAGGTAGCCCAAGAGTAGTCTTTCCAACCAACTGTGTGATGACTCTGAGGCCTTGGGCTTCCAAGACTGGAGTGGACAGTTAACCCCATGGAGAACTGAAGTAGTGTCTCCACCTCATTCCGGACACACACTGAGCCTTACCACTTTCCACAAAGCTGCCCCAGAGAAAAGACTAGATTGGGTCTGTTGCAAACAAACCAAGAACACCTGGACTGAGTTTCAGGGCACTTTAGGCTAATTTGCGCGGGTCCCCTTTCTGGCCCCCCACTGAAGTGGGGAAAGTGGGAAAGGTGTCAGCCTGGGCCAGGTACTCCAGGGGACAGCTTTACAGCTTTATGGAGACAGGACTGTCTGGGGCCATTTTCCTTGGAAGAGGCTGGAGTGCCACAGCTTTTTAATACTTCTGAGTCCTCAGTCACTGTGCTTGAGATAAAACAATTTCCTGATATGCCTAACTTCATGCTCCTTTGAAAATAACCTTGTTGCAGTCCCTCTCCCCCACAGTGACACTCCTAGGGAAGTTCATAGTCAGTTCTCCCTCATCCCCCTAAAAAAGTTTCCCTATACCAGTGTCTTACATTGTTTCCAAAAAAGCTTCTGAGTCCTTATTCCCATGTGTTCAAGCTCCCCACATTCCATATGCTTTTTCCTCAGACTTGATTTGGATTCGTAGTTTTCTCAGGAAGCTTCCAGACCGCAGGCTCCACAGCTGCTTTGAGGCTGGTGATGCCCCACTGAGAAGCAGAGATCTGCTTCTGCAGTTTGATCCTTTTACTCTTCCACCCTTGGCCCTGACTGCTGCTAGGCCCTCACCTCCCAGTCCCTCTCTTCCTGGGCTTGTCCCTTCTCTCCCCCACCTCGTCCAGGTATGGGCCCTTCCTTATCTCAGCCTCAGTCAGTTGCATCCTTCCTGTATCTGAAACCAGAGTGGCTGGCCACTTTACCCAGCTGTGACATCCATCTGCGATCACCTAACATCATGGCACAAGGGAAGGCTCCAGAGTCATTTCTTGCAGTCCTTGCTAAATGAGCACAGTCCAAAAGGAGGAGTGATTTGTCCAGAGATGAACAGAAACTAGAACTTGGATCTCCTGTCTCCTTTTCTAGTGCTGTACAGGGCACCTCACTGCCACTTTAATAAGTAAGCCTGTGTGAATTGGAGTAAATGACCTCAGGGGCCTTACTTTTGTCAACTAAAAGATGAGAATCTTCACACCTTAACTGTCAGGTTGTTCTGAGGAAATAAAATAAGATATTGAATCAAAACATCTAACAGAACAGCATCCAGTACATAATCAGTACTGTCTTCCTAGTCCACTCCTTCCCAGGAGCCTTTCCTGCCCTTTCTTTTGTTTTCTTCTTGCCATACACAGTTGCTTGTGGAAGCTGCCAGAAAAACCAAAGAAGCCTCACAGGAGGGGAGACCCTGGGGAAGGGAGGGGACCACACAGCGGCTATGCAAATTACAGGACACACTTCCTAGGACAGGCAGCCCCAGGATGGCAGTCCATGCCCAGACCCAGAGCAGTCTCATAGTGTCACTGCTACTGGTGCCCACCTTGATGGCAGGCCCCGAGTCCCCATTCCACCTGCTGTTCTGCTCCTTGGGCCTCTCTACCTATCCCCTAACACTGCCACCTACAGCTACATGAGCCCCTCAGTTCCAAGCAGAAATGCTGAGGAAATAAGCTTTGTCTTCTGAACTTCCCTTCTTTCCCATTTCTGGGGCTGGGTTCCATTTGTGGCTGGAGGACCCTCCTCAGTGAGGGCTGGTCCCCAACCCCAGGCACTAATGCTCCTCTGAGCAGATAATGAGTCCTCTCCACTTTCGTCCTTCTGTCCCTCTCCCTGCCTTCTACTCCCACCAACCTATGAAAACTGTTGCCTCCACCATCACCCCCGGCTGCTAAACTCCCCAGGTTTATTTCAGTCCTCAGCTGTCTTGAAGGTTTTTATGGCATTTGACCTTGCCTGTCACTCACTGAAATGCTGCTTTGACCTGGTTGAGCCAGCTGATCCTCCTTCCTCTGGCCCCTCTGGCCCCTGTGGCTACTCCTCAGCCTCTTCCTGGCTTCCTCCCACCACAAGCTCTTCCATGTACTGTTCTAGAGCTACCCACCCCAGCACCAGCTCCTTCCAGTGCAGGTCCCTCCCTCCGCAGCACTGTGCGACTCCGCATGGGTGTACATCTCCAGTGCACGGTCTGCCCTGCCTTCCCAGCCCTGTCCCTAGAGACCCTGACTGCCTCCAACTCAGGATTTCCCCAGAGCTCTGTCTAGACTGCTTCTGGATGAGTTGCTTCTGTTCACAGGATCCCAGAACCCTCCTTCAGATTTCTCTGCTTCTCAGAGCTCTGCTAGGAGGTCAGGCCCATAGTTTATCAATTCCCTTTCAACCTCTCTTCCTCTACCTCTGCTTCTAAGAACCCCTTTTTGTATGCACATATGTGCCTGGGTATTGGACTTACTTCCCTCATCCTCTTATGGCAGGAGAACAGGATGGCAGATGACATCACTGTCAGAAGTGGGAGTGGGGTGGGTCAAAAAGGGGAAAAGGAACTATCAGGGAAGAAATGTCAGTATTTTAAAATATTCTCCCACCATATCATATTACAACTTCAAAAGAGGAGGAGCCTCAAGGAGTCTACTGCAGCCACCTTCATCTCTCCCAGGCAAAGCCCTAGCCTGAGCACTTCATAAGCTGTGGCCAGCCTTCACATTGGCTGTCCTTGTGTAAGGTGCCCTCCACGGTCCCTTCAGCTGTAGCCCGGGCAGGGAATCCCATAAGTCTATGTGGCAATTTATGCAAAAGAAACTACTTAGAAATTTACCTGGAGGGACCATGGAGTGTGGCAGGCCTTGCTCTGAGGGCCCTTCCTGTTACCTGCAAAGGGGATCTTACTCCTCTCTGTCTTGTCCTTTCCTTCTCCAGGACCCTACACTCGGAAGGGAGGTTACCTGAAGGTAAGGCCTGTCCCTTGTGCCAAAGGCTGCTAGATAAGGTAAAGCCATGGTCTGCTAGAAAAATTAGTATGAAATCTGAAAATATGTATGCAGAGCTACCCTAGGCCAAGCAGAGTTAGGGTGGGGGTGGGGAAGACTGGCCACCCTCTTCCAGACTTGGCTGGGTGTTTCTGTCAATGCAGGACCCCAAGTCCCAAAATCAGTTTGTATCTATTGAGATGTGCCCTGCCAGCCAGGCAGCCTCCAGGTGCAGGGGGAGATTGAAGATGTTCATGTGGGTTCTCCAGAGAAACACAACCAAAAGAACCAATAGGGGATTCTTTATTTATTGCTTTATTATAAGGATTTGGTTTGTGCAATTATGGAGACTGAGAAGCCCCATGATCTGGCTGCCTGCAAGCTGGAGACCCAGGAAAGCTGGTAGTGTAATTCAGTCTGAATCCGAAGGTCTGAGAAGCAGGGCAGCTGATACGTAACAGTCTGAGGGCAGGAAATGACCATATCCCAGCTCAGTCGGCCAAGGAGAAGGAGTTCTCCCTTCCTCAGTGCTAGTCAGGCCCTCATCTGTCCGAGGAGGCCCCCAGTCTGGGGTGGGCGGCCTGCTGTACTAACTCAGATGTGCATCTCGTCCAGAAACAGCCTCACATGCACCCAGAAATGTGTCACCAAATATCTGGGTACCAGGTAGAAAAATTGACACAAAAAAAACTCACACCAGGCCTTTCCCACTCACCTGCCCAGCTCTCACCGAGCAGGTCTATCCCACCTCTACTGTTCTTTCCTTCTGTCCATCCTAACTCACTTCCTGTCCCCTGGTCATTTACCACATTGTAAGTGACTGATAGGTGCTCAATGGGTTAATCTGCTCGAGTTAAAAATTCTTCCTAAGTCAAAGAATGGTATTTGACCCACTTGCCCATTTATTGTATGACACAGGTGCTTAACCTCGCTGAGCTAGTCTCTGGTCTGTTAGTGGGGATAACATACATCCCCTACAGGGATGATAGGAAGATGAAAAAATGAAAACATAAGTAGTGTTTGCCCTTTCTGCATGGGCTTACTGAACTTACCAAGCCATGAGGCCTTTGGAATAAGACTGTAGTTCATTTGATTCGTATATGTCAACCTTGTGAGACAGGCAGGTCCCATGCTATCAACATCATTTCACAGATAAGAAAAAGTCTGTCAGTTCTTTTGTGACAGAGCAGGAACCAGGTCCAGAGACAGGTCTCACCTCTTTCCCTTGGCCCTGATGTAGCCAAATCCCAACCTCTAGCAACCTACCTTTCCTTGCTAGGACCTGTAGCAGGGAGAGGGCAGCAGGGCAGGCATTCTATGGACAAAGAGCAGCTTCGGTGCCGGGTCCAAGGAGCAAGCCCTGCCCACTGCCCTGCCCACTGCCCTGCCCTGCGACCCAGGGGACAATAGGGTGCTCAAGGGAGAATCTGTAAGCAACAACACTCTTCCCTTCCTTCTCCCTCCTCACCAGGGTGCAGGGTACTCACCCTTCAGTCTGTGAGCATGCTGCGCAAGTACATCTCCCTTCTGGACCTGCCCTTTTCTCTGCTTCACACCGGTGATGTCCTCTTCGTGCTCACCAGCAAAGAAGCAGCAAAGGCCAAGGTGAGGACTGTGACTTCCTGGACCCCCACTCCAGATATGTGCCCCGGATTCCTGGCTCCTCAGAGCCCTGGCTCTGCAGAGGCCTGACCAAAGACCTTCCACAGAAGTTCACCTTCTGTCTCTGAGTGTTCATACTGCTGCTATTCCCTGGTAGTCATAGATTTTCAAGAACTTCTACCTTTTTGGGGGGGATTATAAAAATAATACATGCTACCCTGGCTGGGTTGGCTAGAGCATCCTCCCAAATCATCAAGGTCAGGACACATACAAGAAGGAACCAATGAACACATAAATAAGTGGAACAACAAATCAGTATTTCTGTCTCTCATCAATTTAAAAATACATCTTAATACTATAAATTTCCCTTGAAGTATTCCTTTAGCTGCACCTGATAAGTTTTGATATATAGTTCTTCTGTCATCATTCCATTATAATTAATTTAGAGTTTCCATTGTGAGTTCTTTTTTATTTTTTTTATTGATTTGAGAGAGAGAGAAACATGGATTTGTTGTTGCATTTACTGATGCATTCATTGGTTGTTTATTGCATGTGCCCTGACTGGGGATCAAACCCACAACCTTGGTGTATTGGGACATTACTCTAATCAACTGAACTACCTGACCAAGGTGTGAGTTTCTTTTTAATCCATGAAGTTTTAGGGGTGCATGTATTTTAGAGTTTACAAGTGTGTGTGTATAGTCAATCTTTATTATCCACAGATTTCATATTTGCCTACTTGCTAAAATGTGCTTGTAACCACATGTCAATACTTGCAGTGCTTTTAGGGTCATTTATAAACGTGGATATTTGCAGAGCAGTGAGAAATTTGAGTCATTGATGCACACATACATGTTCCCAACTGAGGTTGAAGGTGAACCTCTGTCTTCTTGTTTTAGCTCATACTATAAAAAAGTCTTTTCCTTGGAATATTCAGTGCCACATAGTTCTCACTTCTGTGCTTTTTGTTGGTAAGTTTACTTTTTAAACTGGACTCTAATTATGGTGCAGGAGTGCTGTCCAATGGTGTTGAACACTGGACACAAGAATCTAAAATGTGCCTTATGGAAAACATACATGTGTTTTAATGTATTTGTATTCATTCATGTATTGTGATGTTGGCCATGAGTTCAGTGTTGATGAATCAGTAATGTATTAAATAAGGTGTCTTTACACAGAAACACACATAAAATACATACATAAAAGATTATGTATTGATCTTTGCTGAAAATGACATGACCAGAGGCTAAACCTTTATATGCCCTAGGAACAGCAATGCAATGTGGACTAATGCGGATGTTTACAGTAACTGTACAGAACATGACTACTGTGAATAACGAGAATCATATATGTTCTGATAGATAATATTATATATCATATGTGATAGTGATATATTGATACATATGATTATGATCATATGTGATTATTATATATGAGAATATATGTAATCTTTTTATTGCTGGTTTATAATTTAATTGCTTTCTAGTCAGTAAATGTGACTTGTATAATAGTGATATTTAAAGATTTATTGAAATTTAGCATGTTTGGACTGACTGGTCAACCCTGCCTCACTCTGTTACTGTAGTTTAGAATATTATTGCTGATACATATTGATTCCTGGCCCTTTATTGTTGTTGTTTTTTAATTGACTGGAGACAGAGAGAGAGAAACATCAATTTGTTTTCCCACTCTTTGATGCATTCATTGGTTGCCTCTTGTATGATCCCTGACTGGGGATCGAACCTATACCCTTGCTGTATTGAGACGACACTCTAACCAACTGAGTCACCTGGCCAGGGCCTTCATTGTTTCTTATATCCCACACTTTCTAGGTTCACTTTTCTTTGTGTTGATGTATGTTCTTTAGCAATTCTTTAGTGAGGGTCTAAAGAAGGCAAATTTACTTAGCCTTTAAATGTTTGCATGTCCTATCTTTTGGGAAAGTTTGCTAAAAATAAAAGTTTGTTTGCATTATTTTCCTCCCAGTGTGTGTTAGGATGTAACTCCCTTATGTTTTGGTACCATCTATTGCTGATGAAGAGCCTATAGTCAGTATAATCTTTTTCATGTGCAGTTAGTCTCTTTTATGGTTTATAGCTTTTTAAGATTGTCCATGTATTTCTGGGTTCTGCAGTCTTATAATATGTCTGGGTGAACTTGTTTATATTTGTCCAGCTCAGGACTCACAAACTGAGGGCCCCTGTCTTTCAGCAGTTCTGAAAAATCCTCACCTATTGTCTCTTCAAATATCCCTTGCAGGAAGTTCTCCATTCTCTTCATAGACTCCTGTGAAATATATATACATAGTGGGGCCTCTTTCTCTATGCATTGTGTCTCTTAATTGTTCTAATTTTTTTCTCTATCTCACATATCATTTTCATTTTTGAGATTTCTAATTTTTTATGCCCACCTATTGTTTCACTTCCTGCTTTTTATTTCAAAATTCCTTATTCTTTAAAGTTGTTATTCTTCTGTTTAGCTCCTTGAATGTCCTAAATACAGTTATTTTAGTCTCTAACAAATTATATATAAAATTATTATTTTTAAGTATTTTTATTGATTATGCTATTACAGTTTTCCCAATTATTTCTGTCTTTATACCCCCTCCACCCTGTACCCCCCAATCCTCCAGCATTACCCCCCACTTTAGTTCATGTCCATGGGTTGTACATATATGTTCTTTGAGTTCTCTGTTTCCTATACCATTTTTTATCTCTCCCCATCTATTTTATGCCTACTAATTATGCTTCTTCTTCCCTGTACCTTTTCCCCCCATTCCTCCCTTCCCCCTCCCTACTGAAATCTCTCCATGTGATCTCCATTTCTGTGGTTCTGTTCCTGTTCTACTTGTTTGCTTAGTTTGTTTTTGTTTTTGTTTTAGGTGTGGTTGTTAATAATTGTGAGTTTGCTGTCATTTTACTATACATGTTTTTTTATCTTCTTTTTCTTAGATAAGTCCCTTTAACATTTCATATAATAAGGGCTTGGTGATGATGAACTCCTTTAACTTGACCTTATCTGGGAAGTACTTTATCTGCCCTTACATTCTAAATGAAAGCTTTGCTGGATAGAGTATTCTTAGATGTAGATCCTTGCCTTTCATAACTTTAAATACTTCTTTCCAGCCCCTTCTTGCCTTCAAGGTTTCTTTCGAGAAATCAGCTGATAGCCTTATGGGAACTCCTTTGTAGGTAACTCTTTTCCTCTTGCTTCTTCTAGGATTCTCTCTTTATCTTTAATCTTGGGTAACTTAAATGATAATGCATCTTGGTGTGTTCCTCTTTGAGTTCAGCTTCTTTGGGATTCTCTGGGCTCCCTGGGCTTCCTGGAAGTCTATTTCCTTCACCAGATTGGGGAAGTTCTCCTTCATTATGTTTTCAGATAAGTTTTCAATTTGTTGCTCTTCCTCTTCTTCTTATGGCACCCCTGTAATTTGGATATTGGAGCATTTCAGGTTGTCCCAGAAGTTCCTAAGCCTCTCTTCATTTTTTGAATTCTTGTTTCTTTCTTTTCTTCTGGATGGATTATTATTTCTTTCTTTTGTTTCAAATCATTGCTTTGAGTCCTGGTTTCCTTCCTGTCACTGTTGGTTCCTTGAATATTTTGCTCTATTTCACTTTGGATATCCTTCATTTGTTTTTTCATTTTTCAACCAAGTTCAGTCAGATCTTTGAGCATTTTGATTACCAGGGCTTTAAATTCTCCATCAGACAGGTTGGCGATCTCCTCCTCGCTTAGTTCTCTTTCTGAGGCTTTGCTGTGTTCTTTCATTTGGGCCATATTTCTTTGTCTTGGTGAAGCTGATAGGTTATAAGGAGAAGAGGAAGCAGGGGGCAGGGCCTTAGGTATTCACCCAGGCAGGTCAACCCTCTTTGCTTCTCTGTGGTGTTGCCTATGGGGGAGGGACCAGAGAAGGAACAGTGCAGCTTGCCTTTTGTCTCTGGAGCACTTTTCAAAGAACTCTAGTGTGAGACTGGGAATATCTCCTACTGAGGCAACCCTGGCAACCCCAGCCGTAGCCCACAGTCAGCTCTGAGTCTCAGTTTCCCCCTTAAGTCAGCCCCTCCCTTCCAGCCGGTCCTGCCCACAAGGCTTCCACATCATGGTGGTTTTTTTGAGTCAGCCCTCAAGGTCCGCCTTACCAGTCTGGTTGTTCTAGTTGATTTTTTCTTTATTTCCTTGGTTGTTAGAGTTCCATGCAGTTTGATTTTCTGGCACTTTTGGTTGTTTATTGATTCTAGATATTCTAGATTGGTTGTTTTCCTCCTTTTGGTTGTGCAAGGAAGCAAAGGATTTCTAACTAGCCTCCGTCTTGGCCGGAACTCCCTATAAAATTATTTTTATCTAGATATATTCATGCTCTGAGTGCTGACTTCATTAGCTTTCTTTCTTTGCATAAATATCATTCCTGTCTTCAGGAATTCTGATTTGCCAACTAGGAGGAAGGTCTTTTTATTGATAAATTAGGGGATCGTGCCCCCCTCTTCCTATGTGCTCTCCTTCCCTGTCTAGCATTCTCAGGTGCTTGATGGCCAGAATCAGGTCCTCTAATGGCAGTTCCAGGTATAGAGCTAGCAGGTAACTTGGTTCAATGCTGATTTCAAGACATTCAACTTGCTGTGAGCTATATAACTGGCAAATGTTTTTTGCCAGTACCTTTTCACAGATGAGGGAGCCACCAGCCCTGGCTTCAAGCAGCGTGCCTGAGCTCCCTGTCCCAGAGTCCCTTCAGTGAATGCCCTTCAGGAGCAGAATTCTCAGCCACCATGGTGCTCCCGGGCCCGCGAACAGCCAGCCCTCTGCTTTGACCCCTGTGTGTGTTCTTAGTGTTCATGGTGCTGTTGGTCTTAGTTTTGACCCAGCCTTATTTTTTTTGTCTTCTCTTTGCACTTTTCTCTTTTATTGCTGTGTGTTTGGAACAGGAAGCATAAATTATTGCTTCATCAGAATAGCTGTCAGGTGGATGCCACCCAAATACCCACAATAGGTGGATGGATAAAGAAAATGTGGTAGATACCTACAATGGAATTTCAGCCTTAATAAAAAGAAGGAAATCTTGTCACGTGTTACAACATGTATGAACTTTGAGGACATTATTCTAAGTGAACTAAGCCAGTCATAAAATGACAAATACTATGTGATTATACTTCTCAGAAATATGTTTACTAGCCAAAATTATGGAAAAACAAGGTAGAAGGGTGGTTGCTAGGGGATAGGGGAGGAAATGGGTAGTTGTTCAATGAGTGTAGAGTTTTATTTTTGCAAGATGAAAAAGTTCTGAAGATCAGTCATAACAATGTGACTGTGGTTAATGTCACCACACTGTGCACTTAAACATGGTGAAGATGGTGAGGTGAGTTTTATATTGTGTGCTTTCTATTTCAATTAAAAATAAAAGATAAATTTAAAATAATAACATTTTGCTAGCAAAATGGAAATGATCAAATTATAGAACCTATTATCAGAGCATTAAATGAAATAGGTGTGTAAACTGGTATAACCTTTCTGGGAAGTAATAGTACTAAATGTCAGAAATCTCAGAAATTGTTGATACTCTTGATACACTAAGTGAAAACAAATAGGTTACAGATATATATATATATATATAGATATATATATATACACACACACATACATATATGTATATATATATATATATACACACACATACATGTATGTATATGTATATGTATATATACACATTTTACACACATATACACGTGAAAAAAAGCCAAAGAACATGCAAAAATTATCAATGTTGATTATCTCTGGGTGGCGGGATTCTAGGTGAGTTTAATTTTTTCCTTTAATTTTTCAAACTTTATAAAATAATCATTATTACTTGTATAATACAATAAATTTATACTTACTCTGACCTAATAAATTTTATCTTTAGAATTTTATCCTAAAGAAATGAACAGAGGTGTGTCCAGAGATTTATGGGCAAGATGCTCACTACTGTTCTCTGTGATAGCCAAAAAAGGAACTAATAATCAGCAGGGGAGTGATTGTATTGTATAACAGGGGAGGGAAAGTATTGTATAACCAGTAAAACTCATAGTTTGAAAGACATGTAATACAAATGCTAAAGTGGAGAGGGGGAGTAGAAACAACTTTGATACTATGTAGTATTCCCTTGGAAAATTGAACAAAAAGTAATAGAAAAGTTAAGTTTGTAAAAACCAAATTGGCAATAAATATATAATTCCTGTAAGTACCTATCTTATTGAATGGATGCTGAAAAGTCATTGAAAGATTGGGGGGATCCAACACTTGAGCAGCGTGATGTGGAAATTCTTATAGCTTGGAAACTATTATAGGCACAAAAAACCAATATATTTGAATCACAAAGGTCATCCCTTCACTCAAGGTTTTTCTAAAATGAACATTTTATTTTTACTATGGTCTTCAAAATTTTAACACTATCCTGTGAGTTCATCCATTTGTTTCTGCAAATAACTTTTATTTAAAAATGTAGTTGAACTTCCTGTTGAAACAATACTGTATAACATTTTGTCTGAATATATTCTGTGATGATCATTCCCTTTACCATGTACAGCTTATGGTTACTATAGTTGTACTTACTTACATCTTTAAAGCCATGTGTGTTCTGACAGTAGATATAAAATGAGTTCTCCAGACACAGGTTTGTAATGATATCAACTTAGACAGGAAGATTCATTTTAGTACTTAGAGAAAAGCAGGCAGGGACCATTTATACTCGTATATGTGTACATGTAATTAAATCAGTTGCTGTGATCTATTCTGTTTAAAACCTGAACCACAGCACATCTGAATAATAAACATTTCTTCCACTAGGTGGTAGAGAGAGCCTATACCTACATGCACCATTGTTTCCTCTAATAGTGATTTGTACCTTCATGACCTACTGAATTCAGAGGATAGTATTTTAGCTTGCTTCCCATAATATATCCGTGAATGTGTGATATATGTGAAGTACTGGAGCAAAGTGATCAAGAAAGAAGGTGGCTCTGGGTTCAAATGGCAACTCTCCTACCTATTAGCTATTTGAGATTGATGAGTTTCCTCGTCTATTTTTTTAAGCAATAATAATGGTACTTAACTCACTGGGTTGTTAAATTGAAATAATGCTTGGAGACTGAGCATTCTAACAGCCAGTAGCATCGTCTGCTATTATCACAGGGGAGTAAGTAGAGGTGGGGGAGGGGAGCGAGTTCAGAGAGTTTTGCGGGTCATAGGAAGAAGCCAGATAAAGTTGGCTACTGCATGAGGTGTGTTACTGAGAGGAAGACAAAACTGCAAACAGCAGAAACTGCTCCAGTGCAAGTGTTTCACAGCTGGTTCTCTGACTCTTCCAGAGAGCCATGTCCTGCCACCGCAGCCAGCTCCTCTGGTTCCGCCGGCTCTACGTGCTCTTCTCCCGCTACATGAGAATCAACTCTCTGCACTTTCTCTGAAGTCTGGAAGCCTTTACAGATCCAAGGAATAAGGAGTAAGAAGACTAGGAAGCCCGGGCCCTGGTCTGGAGCTGGCTCCTTTCCCAAAACCAAAGGAAACCCCAGGGTGGGGTGGCCCCCAGAATTCTGCTCGTCAGAGCTACAGCCCCTAATGAAAGGGAGGCCATGCAGGCCAACAGGCTGTCTAAAGTTCACTCTTCCCTCTGGGGAGAAAAACAACACCGAAAACCAAATAAACCCAAGGGTAATAATAGGTCCCCTGCTAGCTTCTCAAGTTCTTATGGAAAACACTATACATGAGAGCACAATGTACTTCAGACACCTAGCACAGAGCCTGCACTTACTGTGAAAGTATGCTAAAATCACTTACAGTGTGATGCAACCCACTGAAACGGTTTCCAAAGCAGGCTCACCAAATACACACACACACACACACACACACACACACACACACACAAAGAAAAGCCTATATTGAATTAGTTCAACCATATTTCCATTGATTTATCTTTGTGGGCTGTATATTGGATTTGAATCTAGAAAAAACCTGCTCTATCTAACACCACGGTCACTGACGGGGCATCGAAGCCCCGATCCCTGTGCTGAGCAGTTTCACAGAGTTGCGTAATTCGGGCCCTGCCCTCAGGGCACTTATAATCAAAGATTCAGCTCTCAACCTTTTGGAACAAGCAGGAAATAGGAAGAGAAATCTGGACATTTTAAAACACACACACACACTCAAGAACCTGATGTTTTAAAAAATTGTATTACAAACAAAAGCATTCTGAAAGATCAGGCTTGGAGGCTACTCACAGAATCCAGCTAATAGTCCAGGGAAGTGGCCCAAGGCAGGGCAGCTCCACAGACTGGTGACCCAGGTGGGAGGCCAGAATTGCCAGCAAAGTAACCAGAGGCAAGGTGCTTAACCTCTCTCTGCCTCAATTCTCTCATCTGCAAAACGGGGACAATAATGTGCCAACCTCAGAGGAAATGGTGCCTGAAAGCACATAGCAAAGGGCCTGATGTACAGTAAATGCTCAGAAAGATGAGCCACAGCTATTCTGAGAACTAAAGAGTAAGCAGGTGTTAAGCAGAGGGAGTAGCATAAATCAAAGGCCTGATACAGAAGAAACCTTGGTGTGCATTGTCCTTGTGTATTCTCTCTGCGTGACAGATGAGAATTTCTGCCTGAATTTCTGTCTTCATAGTAGCAGGTTAGAGAGCTGCTTCTTGGGCCTCTTCACCCACACTTGCTTCCTGGTTCTGGGGCTTGCCAATGTCTTGAATGCCTCCTAGGGGCTAAATGAGGCTGACAGAGCTATCAGGCCCCTAGGCTGGAATTGAAAATGCAAAACTGGCTGTTACCTGTCTACTAAAGATGTGTCACTAGCTCCTAATGGCCTTCATGTGAAAGTGACAAAAAATAAGGCACTAACCCTGCTTAGAGTTTGGGGACTTGTTTGACTCCTAACCTGCTACTAGGAAGACAGACACCCACCGGCCTTTTGGGACAGCAATTCTCAATACATGTTAAGAGCGTTTAAAATACACATACTCGAACCTAAGGAAATATTTAAAACATCAAAATTGTATACATAAAGATCATCACAGTATTATTTAAAATAGCATAATGAGGAAAATCCAGCGATGTAATCATATTTGGTAACAAGGAAAAATGTTCATGATATATTAAATTTTGAAAACCAGGTTAGGAATGCTAAAATTCAACAATGACACACATATATATAAAAGTATACAAACAAATATACATATCCGTGTGTGTGTGTGTGTGTGTGTGTGTGTGTGTGTGGCTATGTATCCATAAGGTCATCTTTCTACAATAAACATTTATAATTTTAAAGTATTTTTGTTCATGAATAGCCTTTTATTGTTTAGGCTTTTACATTTGTCCCCAATTTCTCTCCCTTTGCCTACCTCCACCAAGCCTCACCTCACCCCTCCTCCAAGGAATCCCCATATCATTGTTTGTGTCCATAGGTCATGCATAAATATACTTTGGCTAATCCCTTCACCATCTTTCATTGTGTACAAATAGTTTTTATGTGAGAAAATAGCTTTTGAGAAAATGTGAAGTTTTTAAAGATGTATAGTCAGTATAATTTTAATTATGTAAAGTGCTAGCCATTTATATACTGCTGGTAGACATAAATGGTATCTACATACTCTTTAGTTCTCAGATTACCTGTGGCTCATCTTTCTTGAGCATTTACTGCATGTCAGACCCTTTGCTATGTGCTTTCAGGTACCATCTCAACTGCTGCAGAGGACAACTTGGCAATTTCTAGTGAAGTTCTATATCCTCTGATCCAGCATTTCCACTTCTGGTAATTTACGCTATAGATTTACTCAGGTGCCAAAAGAGGTGTATAAGGGATAGACATTGAAACACTTTATAATAGTAAAATACTGGTCCAGTCCAAGTGTTCATCAATTAAGGATTGTCTAAGTATATTGTAGGTAAAACAGTAAAATACCACAAAACTATTTTTTAAAATAATTTTTTTAAATAAAAATTTGCCTTTATTTTATGTTCACTGGGTCAATTCAAGCTCCTATCTATGTCTTGTGGGTTGGGTGGTGGGGGTTGGGCTGTGGTCAACCATGGCCCTTTTCAAGTTGCAAATCAGTAACAGTGGTCCAAAGGTGGCAACATGTCTTGAGTTATTGCATCACTGTAAACAGAAAATCTTGTCTCCTGATCAGGTACCCAAAAGGTTATAAAAGAAATATAACTTAGCTCCAATTTGAGCATTTGTACTACAGAATGTAAGCTTCACCTTGGCATTTTTATTTTTATTTTTTATTTTCAAAGACTTTATTTATCTACTTTTATAGAGAGAAGAAGGGAAGGGAGAAAGAAAGGGAGAGAAACATCAATGTGCGAGAGATATATCGATCACTTGCCTCTCTCACGCCCACAGCCAGGGACCCAGCCCATAACCCAGGCTTGCGTGCGGACCAAGAATGGAACTGGTAACCTCAGTCCAGTGAGCCACACCAGCCATGGTTCACCTTGGCATTTTTAAAGGCATTTGTTGTGATCCTCTATAAGGCCTTCTGTGTCATAAAAGTACTCATCCTACCACATCTACATAAAAAGGCTGTACATTCTCATTATATCTGTAGTGCCATCAAAACTATGAGATAACAAGTTACACTTGCTGGAATCCAATCTGACTTCCAGCTACCAGGACAGTCCACCCTAGCACTGTCACAGAGCGTGTCATTACCAGATGACACCCAGGACCAGCCACAACTTCATACTGAACTACTTTGTTCTACAATTATGACCATACACTACCATACAGTTGACAAATTTTACCCTTTATTTTCAGAGTTTCTGATAAAACAGGCAATTATTCCATTTGTGTCCTTTCCATGTTTTAAAATAAGAAAGTCCTATATTTGTATTCTCTAAGATTCATAGTAAAAACATTATACAAATGTACACATCCTTGAAAACTCTAGTATTTCTAGTGTACATTATTACCACTTGTAATATAATTCTACCAGTCAGAACTCTGTAATACCTAAGCTGTCGCACAATCCAGAAGACACATTGATTACCCCAGGACTATAATCCCAAACCAGAACTCAAAGTGGTGCAATCACAAGTGAAGGCAACAGGGAGTGCTGAGAATGGAGAAGAGTCCTCAAGTCCCACTTGGCAGCTGCTAGGGAGTCTCCAAATCCGCACCCCAGCCACACCCCCCATGCCAAGTCCAGGCAGCCAAAGGGACTCCATGCCAGAATTACTGGAGAGTCCTGAAAGTGTCCCACCAGAGTCACCAGAAAATGAAACCAGAAAAGCGTTCCTGCTGCCTGTCACTACCAGAACCAATTAGTAGATATAGGATTGAATCTTTACGGGCACTTTAATAAGATGTCAGCGACACCTGAGAAGATGGTGGGTTATACACCCTCAAAAACCATCTCAAATCACCTCAGGCCAACCTTTTTATTTTTTATTTAAGCTTTTATTTATTTTTATAGAAAGGAGGAGGGAGGAAGGAAAAGAGGAAGAGAAACATCGATTGGTTGCCTTTCTCATGCCCCCAGCTGGGGACAGGGCCTGCAACTCAAGCATGTGCTCTGACTGGGAATTGAATGGGTGACCTTTCGGTTCTCAGGCTAGTGCTCAATCCACTGAGCCACACCAGCCAGGGCAAGCCAACCTTTTTATCAGGAGAAGAAAGGGTAGGTGAAGGGTTTGGAACAAAGGTTAACTATAGTGCAGAGGCCATTTTCCTACTACTTTATCCATTAACCTCTCAGGTACCATCTCTATCCCTTGCAGACCCTCTGGGGCACAAAGGTTGAATTGCTCTGGGTTATGTATTCCAGTCTCTGGAATAACAGCTTTCCACATTCATCAATCACTGAAGCCTACCAACTGGCTAAAATCTTTAACTCTTGAGTTCCCCTGTCAAAAGTGATTCTTAACGGCAACAAGGCCTTAGCCTGCTGAGTTCCCAGATGCCTCTTACCCTGGTCAGATGAGAAGTCAGTAAAAATTCAGTGGTAACTGCACAGGCTTTCAGCCTTTTGTCTTCAGGCAAAAGGCCTTCAGGCTTTTTGTCTTTAGGGTAAAATGTCATTTCCTATGCCACTCTGGTGACAATGTCTTCATCTATGGCAGAACAGCAGGCCCTCATCTGTGCCCACACACACATCTTCCCATGTGTGTATTTCAGGGGCAGAAAGGAACTAAAGTAATCCTGAGGTTTCTGTCTGTCAGTCTGCTGCACCACAGGCCACTGTGCTTATTACTGAAGACTCCGACAGACTGCATGTGTTCCAAGTTGTTCAGCTGAATGTCTTCCCACTTTCTTCCTGCCCGCCAAAACTCAAGGTCTGTCTTGGTTATGAGGTCCCCACCTGCCATACTGAGAAAGATGAAGATCACCTCCCGGTAAGACACGCCTCCAGCCTGCTCGTAGTAGTCTAGCAGCGGCTTGATGGCCATCTGATCCTGGGGTTCAACTTATCCATCTTGTCAAATATGAACACGGAGCTTACACAGGCACTCACGTTACCCTGGATCCACCTCTGTAACTGGTCCTGGTACAGCTTTATCTGGTGTTCATGAGGGAAGTGCAGAGTCGATACAAACAGGTGAACAAAGTTATTCTTAGGCCTTTTGAATGGAGATTTTCAGCCACAATTTGGCTCACAAAATTCTTGCCTATGCCAGCCCAGCCACATAAGGAAAGAGTCCATGGTTCCTTGGGGTCTTTGTTGCTCTTGAAGCCAGTCAGTGCCTTGAGGATCACCTCTTTGGCCAGATGCTCTCCTAACAGCTTCTCCTCCAAATGCAGCTTGAAGGTTAGATAAAAGGCACAGCTCTCAGGGCTGGCAGCCAAACAGAGGTCCCATCTGCCCTCTCTCCCTCCCCTCACCTGGGGTGAGCTGTGTGCCAGATGTGAATGTCCACTGAGGCCTGTCCCTTGTGTCCCTCCTGCCCCTCCAGGCAACCCGAAGTACTGGACACATTGAGCGGTTTCTCCTTGCCACAGAATTCGGCAAAGAGACAGTACAGGGCCGGGTGTTGGTAGGCTAGGTAGAAGGATGGCGAGGGACATGCTGATGGGCTCGATTGCTGCCAGCACCTGTGTAAGAGGGTACAGCCAGGGGGGCCCCCAAAGAAGGATTTGTAATGGGGTCCAGAACTCAAGGTGTCCGGGAAATACTAAAAATATGGGATATCCTCACCCTCACAAGTCTGAACTGAGAGATGGGACACATGGAGCAGGGCCATTGAGAATTGTTTTGCATAGCAACAGTTTTACAAATAACCTCTAGAATGGTCATTTAACATATCTATAACTTTTGACTGGTTTCATAGATATGTTAAACAGCTGTGGCCATGCTTTGAGCCAGGGGGATGGGAGTGACTTCCACCCATGATGTAACTGGGAGGCAACTCCCCATGATTACAGAGCCTGCACGAGAGCTTGGAGATGACTGCCTCCACACCACAGGGCCATGCCTGCTCGGATTTATAATGGCAACCCAGAAAAGCTGGAAAAATATGGGAATGCTAGCAGATGTAGCCGATTGTGGGAGGAGTTGGAAATGGGGCTGCAGAAGAAGATTGGCGCTGGGATTTATACCCAGGTGCAGCAGCCACGACAAAAAGAATCACAGGGGGCTTTGGGTCTCCCTTTGCCACGCAGCTTTCTGGAAGCCAGAAAGCAAGATGTAGCAGTGATGTGGAGCTCTCTCTCAACAGTTTGGAAGAATGAAGGAGAGACGCTGAGGGAAGGAAGGGGGTGAAAGGACTTGCTGGCGGGCCATGAGAAGGTGCCATGTGGTTTTGGGTTAAAAACTGGAGATTCTGGTGACACAGCTGATGGTGCTGGGAACTGAGGGATGCCTGCCCGCCAAGCACAGATTACTGCGAACAACCGGGGAATACCTGAGCCACGGACTTCTATTTCTTTTCCTGAAACATGGTACCCCGACTCGGCAAAGTGGGGAAGGAAGGACTGTATGTGTTTGTGGGTGTTTTCAGGGACTTTGGGATTTTAATGAAGACATTAAGCCATTACTCTTAAGTCTGTATAACTCGAATAAATAATTCCTTTCCTTTTCACCAATCTCTTACATGAAGAGCTATAATTCCCTGGTGGCAGGCAAGGTGAACCTAGTACAGGGGGACCCCAGGAGAATGGGGGTCCACTTGGTAACATCGTGCAACTCCTTCTGTGGTGGCCAATCAGGGAAAACCATGGGAGACCACATGTGCAGTAGCTTTTAAGCAATACAACTACTTGTACATGTGTAACAAAAGCCCACCAAAACTAGCCAGGAAGGATCTGCCCTATAAGAATAGAATCCCTCCAGCCCATGAGGTCAATCTCTGCTTGGAGTTGGCCTGCTCCCATGTTCTCTGCTATAAACTCTGTGTTAGGTTCAATTCTTTGTCCCGATCCCCAAGAACCTGGTTACTTGTGCCCACCTGTGACACCTTGGCCACCAGCATCAGCCACAGCACTGTGCCGGTGCCATGCTGCCCCAAGCTGCCTGGCTGCTGGCATCTCCATGTTGCAGCCTGCCTCTCCTCTGCACCCTGGGCCTCACCACAAAACTATTTTTTTTTTTTAAGAAAATAAGGCATTACATTGATATCTAAGGCACACTACAGAATGGAAAAAGCCAGCTGCAGACAGTGTTAATGATGCAGCCAGCTGTGAGGGAAAACATATCTAATCCCCAAACGCATGTGAGCAGATAGGTTGTCTCTGGTAATGGTGCTTTGTCTCTGGAAAGGGGGATTGAGTGGGAGGAGGGGAATGGATATTGTTCATCCTTTAGCATTTTATTCCAAGTGTATATGATGAGTGAAAGGCTCTGCCGAGGAATAAATGCTAATTAGCCACAAAATTAGGCAATATAGAGCTTTATTGGGGTTTGCGTGCCTGGGCGAGATTCCTCAGTCCGCACGGTGGGGCTGAGAAAGCCACGAGCAAACAGGGAATTCGGCGGGGTTTTATTTTGGCTGGCCCTCTTTGTGAGGGCTGGGGAT